AGAGAACTGCAGGATTATCTATAAAATCCAACATTAATGCTCCAAGTTCTTCAGCAGCCACAGACAACACAGCCACGGCCCAGAGGTAAGAGCCCACAGACACGGCTGCTGTGCTAATTTTATGTGAACAGGGGCAAATTAATCACTGTCTCTGAAAATACATTCTTTCCTAAAGCACCCTATTAGAGGATTCAAGAGAATAAAATATCTAAAAGGAAGTATCATGACAAATGTCCTTAATTCTCAAATCACAATAAATTATGAACATAATTCACTTTCCCCTGCCTGCTTTTTATGCAGTTACTTAACCTCACTGAAACTTATTTCTACATCTTGGAATGGTGGTAATTACCCTTTTTTCACGACTTTCTTTTGAGAATTCAATGAGGCAACAAACGTAACTTACATACTGCATTAGTGTGCAAAATCTTAAAGTTTTACCAAAGGATGCTGAATAATTAAAAGCTACCCGGCACATTGGAATTTAGCATCTTAGGATAACATCCAAGGATTTGAAGGGACACATATGTATAAAACTACAATGGAGACTGACATGTAACAAATATCAGTATATGTTAGACAGTATTATTATTATTATTATTGCGCTAACACCAGAAAAAAAAAAAAGAGCATTGTACAAATACATTTTCATAAATAAAGTAATGATGGCATGTCAGAGTTCAGCATTCCTTATTCATATCTGAGCATTCCTTATAAAAAAATAAAAGTGACTACCTTGTTACCTAGAAATGTTGACCCTGGAATGAAATAAATGACTTAATTACTCATTAATTCATAAATCACATTACTTATATATTAGCCTATCAAAATGTATAATTTCCTAATTAATTATCTCTATTCAATGTCTTAGAAAATGTCCAATATCGAGATGTGAGATTATTTATGTAAGAGGAAAATTAAGGTGGTCCCCTGCATGCAATCTAGTTGGCTGTGACTACATTTGTACCACCGTTACATAAACGTTGTATGAATATTCCTCTTACCTTTGTATAAATGTACCTCGTTGGGAAAGGAAAGTTTGAGGAATTGCCAGTTAATTTTCCAAATTAACAAAACCACTAACCATATTGAGAAATATTAACCCAACTTTGCTTTAGTAAGCCCATACTCTGAGCAATATCTAATTTTTACCTGAAGAAGGAAAAACACACACACACAAACAGCTAAATCCTTAGAGGTTGTGTAGGCAAATAGAGATGTTTAAGCAGCTCCAGAGATGTAATGTTATAGCCTTTCTGTTCTATTGTTACATTTTATTTATTTCTAATCACGAACTATTTCAAACATTTTAAAAATTAGCAATAACAATGTAATACACATACACAGATTCATTAGCACATTTAATAATGGTAACATGTTTCAATATTTACTTGAGAAGTATTTTTTGAAGAGACAATGCTTATATACTGCCTTCTTTATATAATTGTTTCTTAACTTTAACTTCCTGTTTACTTTAAACTGGCCTATGTCAAATGACCAGTTAAAGGGCTAGAAGATGTGTCTACTTCTCTTTCGAAAGTACACTTGTTAAAAAAAATATATTTGAGAGGGCAGAAATCTGGCCTTGGAAAAATGGGGTTTTAACAATTTAAAACTTCACAAAGAAAAAACACAATATGGCTAATAGTCAAAGCCTGGTTAAGATAAGTAACACTAATTGAGTAATATTAAACCTTTTAAGGAATAACCAAAAGACAGGATTGTTAACCAGTCTCACAAAGTTCTTCCCCACATTCTTAAAGGCTTCATAACTGTTTTTATCTTTAATAATGTTTACTGTTATATTAGACAGTAATATTGATATTTTTAATTCTTCTTCTACTATCTAAAATTTTCAGGCCTTTAGAAGTATCCAGCTGGGGTTTTGCTACACACTTATAGTAAATTAAAATAATTATTTATTTAAAAAATTGCTCTAAATAAACACACTTTAAAATGTGTGTATCGGCCAATAAAATTTTATGTGTTTACCACTTTCTGAAAACAAAAACAATATAATAGATTACTTTGGTTTAATGAATCATAATGAGTGTGCACTTCAGAATAGTTTAAGTCTTTCAAGCTTTCAAACAAAACATAAATTTAAAAAACACAATTTGCACATAAAAATGGTTAAGATGCTAGATTTTATGGTTTTATACCACAATACAAAAAGCATTATTTGAGTACTAATATTGTTTACAAAGTATTTCATTAACAACTTAAAGTGTATACAGTAGAAGGATATTTGTGGAAATATTAATTACTAAAATGTTACGAAAACTACTTATAATATGAGAAAGGCTTGACATGTTAAACGGAAAAACAAAGGATATTGAATTATCTGTCTACTACAATTAAAACTTAATAAAAATAAGTTAGTTAAACAGGGAATGGCCAAAGAGGCACACCAATAGATTAACAGTGAGTGTATTGGAGTGGCAGAATTATGGATGAATTTTTTCCCTTTTCCAAATTTCTATCATATGTTATGTGATCATTATAAATGAGCAATCATTTAAAAATCAAAATTATTATTAAAATTATAAATCAATCTAAACAATTATAATTATGCAGGGTAAAAAAATATGCATCTATGCATAACCCATGGACACAGACAATAGTAGAGTGGGCCTGCAGGTTGTGAGGTGGAGGGGGGTCAACAGGAGGAAAAAGGGGGACATCTGTAATACTTTCAACAATAAAGATAAGAAACATACACACACATATATATATACACATACATACACACACACATATATACACAGTTTGGTTACAAAACAATTTTAAATACATTTATCATTATTGAAAACATGTTCATATGAAAATATACATTCCCTGTTTTGTTTACCTAGAAGCACTCTATGAAATTTTTTCCACAAACTCCTAGCATCTTCCCGTTTGTATATTTACAAATTTAAAATGATTACTTATGAAAATAAAGCCTTGGTGTATAAAATAAGTGTTAATTCATTACATAATATCTCCTCATGGATTTCTATTATAAGAACAGAAATGCTTCATGGGAACAACATAATTTTACGGTAAAAAGAATCACCATGAAGGAAAGCAAAGCTTTAAAGTCCTATTCTTAAAAGGAAATGAAACCATCTGTATTCAAAACAGGCAATAAAACATGACTTAAGCTGACATAAATGTTGTGGAACTTGAATCTCACCAGACAGTAGATTCTCTGCTACAAGAAAGTCATGTAAACTGATTCCATCTTCCTTGGCTCCTTTCCTCTCAGCTATTTGACAGGTAATTCCTTTTAAAGCTCCCCTTTTAGCTCTTACCTCACAAGGGAACCAGCATGTATGTTTCTCTTAACTGTTTATATTTGTTAAAACTGGGGGAAGTTTTTAGTGCATTCAGTTAGGTCATTGCAGTTGGCTGCCTTTTCCTTCTATTCATCAGAGTCCATGTAATGGTAGATGAGAGATTACAGTAACAAATGTACGTTTTTATGTTTTACCGCAATTCATTCAGTATTTCCCCGTGGCACAGTGCTGCAGGATTGCTCATTCAGCATACAGTGTCACAGCCAGGCTAACTGGTAATTGTTTTCCTAGCCTCCCAGAGAGAGACAAAGTAGACTATGTACAAAGTGTTAAGTAGAATGACTTAACAGCACACGGAAATTCCTACTGGCCTTCACTGAGTTTGAAACTGAGCAGTAGCTTTCAATAAACTGAAAAGACAACAGAAAGGGGGAAAGGCCTTATTTTTTCATTGTCCATCAATGGATGAAGAATAAAATGTACTGAGCAATAGAATGCAGTGATCTGAAGAGGCCCTAACATCGAAAGGATCATCGCAGATGAATTTGCCTCCTACGGGGAAAACAAAGAAAGCTTCAGCACAGACATCTTTAGACCTCACTTTTAACAGAGCCAGGTCACCCAAACTACTTCAAAAATTTCTTCCAGTTGCTAAGAATGTGACCCGTTATTTCAGGCAATACTTTTACTTACTATATGTATAAACTAGCATGTGAGTTTGGCATAGTGAATCTGTACACCATATTCATGCTCATTAATCAGCTTCAGATATACTTTTATTGCTTCAAGTTGAATTCACAATGATTAATTTTTAAAAATTTCTGAGAATTCAAATTTCATTTATCTGGTGCTAAGTCTCCAGGGAGAAACTGCAGAATTGTTCTTAAAAGGAAATAAAGCCCAATTTAGACATGATTTAAAAAAATAAATTTGGCAAAAAGTGGAAACCCCATATGGTAGACTGCACACACACATACACACACATACAATTTTCTAATGTGTACTTTAAGAAACTTCAGATTTCCACAATTCTTATCCTGCCAGCATCAAACCCAAAGTTTTCTGGCTGGACTGACTTGCCGATTTCTCTACAGGACACTCTTTGGGGACTGTTTGCATGGCTGACTTTCAACATGAAGGTCGAAGCTCAAAAGCTGCTGACTCTTGATTACTTGTATGATTATCAAAAGAAAAATGGAATTCCTAAAATTCCTAAGTCCTGATTTTAGCTCTTAGCTTCTACCTCACCAGGTTTACAAACAGCAAATGATCAGTTTACTGTAATCCTGAAGTGATGGGCAACGGCAGAGGGAAGGACAAGCAGAGGATCACAAGGATTCAGAGCCTGTCTAATGGAGAAGTTATAATACACATAACAAACTGGAAATAATTTTTACCATTTTCATACTAGCTTTACCTTGCACACTCATCTCCACTTTTCAATGCAAAAGAAGAATTTGGAACTTTAAAATCAATTATTTATATGTAGCAACCCTAAATTTTGAAATGTAATGCAAATACTATACACTGTTCCTACATAAGAATTTCAATTTACTTATGTAATACAATTACTCTTCTAAAATGAAATAGCAACTATTCTTTTTCTCCACACCTGCAACAGTAAAGTGATACATACAATTCACTCCAGCGCTCCCATAATGCTCTCCAGTGATGCCCAGGTGCGCACCCGTCGCCCCGTCCTCCCACAGGGTAGCTCACCTTGCACTTTGGACACTTCTGGGCGTTCCTCTGCCCATGCTCAATTTCGCTGGCCCAGTGACGCAACAGTTTGTCTCCTTTTTTGTACTCCTTGCAGTTAACACCTTCATGCCAAGGAGAGTGGCACTTAAAACACCAGACGAATTGGCAAGTGGGGCACTGGATCTGTGTAAGGAAAGGTAGGATTAAATAGTAGTAGAAATGCTGAAAGCGTCTAAAGGATAAGAATGGTGATGCTTCGGGAAATAAGCTAAAAGGTTATAACTTGTCCAGATTTAAAGTATCTCCCCCTCGACAAGATGTAAACTACAGTAAGACAGGACTATTCTGTTATTAAAGTAGGAGACAGTTCCTTTGCCATGACTGATTCAGCCGTTTGTAGGCTATGCTAGAATTAAACACTTGGGACATTCTGGAAATCAACTTGGTCTTAAGAAAATATCCTAGATTGAAACATGGAATAAAACCTGAAGGCTCACGATAACCCAAATCCACACACTCAGGCGGCTGCCCTTGAATTCACCTTTCTCTTGGACCAATTTCCCAAGCACTCCCACTGCTCTTTTTATCAATGGCTTCGCTCACTTTTATAAAAATAAAAAAGCACCCAGGTGCTTCATCAGATAAAAGGACACTGGCAAATAAACGGCTATACCAGCATTTGCTATGAAGCACCACCTAAAATAATGGCTATCCCCCTTTTTGTTATTAATCTAAGGGAGGTTAATCATAAAAAATAAAGGATCCTATTAGAAATCTATCAGTCTTGGTGGCACTGTGGCCTGTTAGCTAGGAAACCATCAGAAAGATGTCACTGCATTTTCACTGTGTGATGTCGTATGTGAGAGTGTGTCTGTTCACTGAAACTGTCTGCCCTCCGCGTGACACGGGAGACTTTATCTGACTTCCTTTGTTTTGAAGGGCGGTGGAGTATCCCATCCTCTCACAGTGTTTCTGGTCCTCACTCTCTAAAAACATGGGCATAACTTGATCTTCCTAGATCTGTTTGATTAAAGTGAATTAATAAAATGTCTAACTATGAAAAACACTAATGCCTATTCTTTTCTGAGTTCCTGCATATTAATTACTTCCCCGTAACGTGAATGAATTTACTGACTACATTTTGAAAATCAGTTAGAACTTCTTTTGGTAAACAATACAAAATCACTACTTACTTTTTTGGGAAACTACTTTTTTGACAATGGTGGTTCCAATACATACATTAATTGAGTGGCAATTACAATCACAGCTCTTCCATTTATAACCCAAAGCGCTGCAGTTTTCACGTGTGTCAAGAATAATGTTCTTCCCATGCAAATGTGAAGGAGCAAAAGTACTTCTGCTTTTCATTTATATCAAAATAAAGTAATATTTTGCCATAAATTTTTAAAATTTTCATGTTTAATTATTTGTTGAAATTGCGTTACATGATGTTTATGCTGCTGGACACTCATGACTTAGTTTTGTCAACAAAATAATGCTACAAAGTCGGTATGAACATCACAAGTTCACAGAGGAGGAAACTAAGGCTCACAGAGATGAAATAACCGGCCCAAAGTAATATACCAAGTGTGTGTTAAAAAGAAATTTAAACAAGAAGTCTGTAGGCTCCAAGGCCAGCATTCTTCGAACTGAGCCAGAAGCCTTCCTCACTCTAAACAACATTCTTATGCTGACAATTAAAAACCAAACTGTGGAAGTCAAAGAAGGTCATGGAACTAAACTATTCAGTTAAGCATAATTTTACATGATTACCAACATACGGTGAACTCTGAAAATCTTTTTCAAGATTTTACATAAGACAATCCTTAGCTTTTTTTAAAAAGGGACGTTACTAGTCAGTCACTTAAAATCACCATTTTTGCCTTTTCTGATTATTAAAGTGAAAATAACTCATATTTAAAGATTGAGTTAGAGTGTGTGAGCTCCAGATAAGGAAAGAATATAAAATGCTCATTCCCCTATGTCACTGAACCATGAGGAAAAGATCTAAGTATTACACGGGGCCTAAACGAATGTAATTTTCAAATGTAATGAATGAAATGAGGAAGATGCCAGAAGATTTTGCTTTTCCTCGAGTAACCACCGTTATGTCCGGAGGGTCTAGACACCCAGCTCCCTTCTCTTCCATTGGACACTATTCCTAATTCTAAATCACCGGACTCGAGCGCCATCCAACGAAAAACTCTCTGGTTTTCAATCGGTCAGTCTTCGACTGTATTTATGAAATGAACAGAAGAATAAACATAGTGGTGGTTTGAAACGGGGGTTAACTCTACACGTTAGACATTATAACGGTTCAAGGATCTTTGGGGCCAAGCGCTGACCTCTCACATCTACGCATCTCTAATGAAGACGATTAGAAACGTGTGATTCTCCTAAGGTACGAGATAAGGAATCTGCCAGCTGGTGCCAACACGAGGGGTTCTGGCTATCAATCTCTCGTGATAAACAACTAAGCCCTACTGCAGGTCCTACAAGCTGTGAAAGGAGTTTTGCATCAAGCCCTCCAGTACAGATGAGTACTGTCTGTAACTGAAAACATTAAGGCAACTCTTGCTTTGCTTTGGATTAAACAAGGAAAGGACTAACAGCCAGCCCCACAACCTTGCTATTCAGAGACTCACCCGAAGAGTGTAAATACTGATGTTTTGGTCTGAAGACGCCTTATTCATTCTGACCTTAACCATACTCAAAACCAGCCTTTTCTAACACACACAAAAACATCAACTCTGCATCTTCCTCCGTTAATTTATTTATACTTATTTATATTTATCCTTCACATGAAGTGCCATGTCACAGGCACAGACTTCCCGCACACAGGCCTGCCCTCCGGGTGACTGTAGTCACACAGAGGTCCCCATGCTCTCTCCTTGCTACTCAAAGTGTGGTCAGAGGAGCAGCACCTCAGCATCACCCGGGAGCTTGCTGGAGACAAAGAGCTCACGTCCCCCCGAGACCTGCTGAATCAGAGCTGCCGTTTCACAAGGTCCCCAGATGACTCACAGACGCCCTGAGTTTGAGAAGCACTGCTCTGTACCATGTGGCCCCATCTCTCTGGCCACAGAGGATTTACGCCAGGAACGAGCCCCTAAGCCAGGAGCATGTACCAGCGGCCGGCATGCGCTGTGTGCGGCAGGGAGCTTACTGCTGAATAGAGATGGGCCAAGTCAGGCTTCCCCCTGGAGGAGTGAAGGGGCCACACACACACACACACACACACACACTGCCTTTGCCGCGGAGGCAAGGACGCAGGAGAGCTTAGGGACCACTGCAGATGGCGGGAGGAGGGAGCAGCAGTCCCGGCCCGTGGGACAGCGACGGGGCTCTCACGCCGCCAGAGCCAGTGTCCGATTGTCCATGGGGCCCGCCCGGGTGGCCGCTGAGCCGCTTCCCTGCCCTTCCGAGAGTTGCAGTAACCCTCACTGACGGAGGGAGCTTGAGAGAGCGCATCTCTGCTTCTCGTAAGTGGAGAAAGTCCAATGAACACAATCTGTCCACTGAAATCTTATCCAGATCAAATGCTACTTGCTTCAAGGTGTCTTCCCTGTTCCTCCAACCAGACCCAGCATCTGTCTTACAGAACACGTAGATGTCTAATGTCCCTGCCGGCCTGCAAGTTCACGCAGGGCAAGGGCCGCAGCTCATTGATCCTTTATTTCTTGAGTTAGGCAACTCGGAGCTCCTGGCACATGGAACGTACTCAGTAAATCATTTATAAAATGAATTATTTTGCACAGAGCAAGTACTATATACTGGCTAACATTAAATGAATTCAAAGAAAAACCAACACCTTTAATTTATGACCAGTGACTGAGATGATATCATTACTTCTTAGGTTAGCAGGTGATGTTTACTAAATATTTTACCCACATGACATTTTACTGAGCATCATGCTTAATGTGCAAACTCTTCTACAAGAGGCAGGGCTGCACGTGTTCCAAGAATAAAGTTATCAGAGTTAGGAATCTTAATTAAGGTGAGATAACTTCATATTACTTTTTTAACTTTTGAATTCCCTTAGTTTTTCCGGAAATCTGGGCTACAATAACACTCAGATGACAAGTTAAACCAGCCCACTTTTCCTAAGCAAATGGTGTTTCTCTTGACAGCTCATCCTGCCAAATAATTAATCCACAAAATTAAAACAGAGTTCAAAACCGAAAAGCAACTCAGATAAGTCTTTCTTTGCCTAAAGTCTATATACTTCTACCTACATAATTATTTTAAATAAATCACAGAATCATTACTTATCAAACTCAAAATATTAGACAATTCCATGTGTAAATGTAGCATTACACATAACTCAGTGTTCCAAGAAGAATCTGCTTTATTAGAACTTCAGGTTAAGGCAAGTACTCAATAATAAAACATATTCACCAATTCATTTGCTCATTCAACAAATATTTATTGAGCACCTTCAAGCCGCAGGTTCTGAGTGTACTGAACTTAGGCACGTAAAAAAGAATGAGAACACTTTGTCCTCAAGGAATTTACTGAAGGCAGACAGCTATAAATCCAGAGGGGGATGTAACCAGGTAATGCTCCTAGAGTAGACGCTTAGACAAGTGGGTGCCATGGGAAAGATGCTCTAGGGAAGGCTGGAGGGTTAGTATGGCCTTGAAATATGCATGGGATGTCACTGGGACAAGTGATGGGGTAACACTTCTAGAAGAGGTGCCAGCCTGAGCCACCACGGAGGCCTGAGAGGACATGGTGCACTGGGGAAAGCACGTGTTCTAGTGTAGCCTGAACAGAGATGTCACTGCAGCTGGCTTGACCCTGAGCCTTGCTGAAGTGTCCAAAACCCGGGTTGAATTACATTAACGTATCTATACTCTTGATATATACTCAAAATACACTGTGGTCCAAAATGAAACATGTCCTGATATGAAACATGTAAAACTTATGGCTGTCAGAATATGGTATGCCTAAAGAAACTGATCAATATGTAAAAAAGAGGGAAATCTCATAGTTACAAAACATTTTGTAACAACTCCTCCCCTAGAAGATCAAATCCTAAAGCAAGAATGGCAGTGGAAGGGGGTTTTACACGTGGGAAAAAACGGTTTGACGTCCTGTCTTGATTTTTTCTTTTTACATTTATCTTTATTGTTGAAAGTGTTACAGATATCCCCTTCTGCACACCCCCACTGACCCTCCAC